GGCGCCGGGCTGCGACGGCTGGGAGGCAGGGAGCGGGTGCCGATGCCTACCCTCCTCCCCGAGGCTAGAGCTGGCTTTGCCCCTGGGATGGACAGGGCAGGGAGCCGGGAAGGCCCGGGGGAGGGAGGTGTGCACCCCTTGCAGCTCCCTGTCTGCCAGGGCCCAAGCGTATTTGAGGCCTGGTGCCCTCAGCAAGCTACCTCCAAGCTCTGCCCGCTGGGATTAATCTGCTGCCGAGTCCCACCAGGCAGCATCTCTTCATCTGGCCCAGCCCCACAGCATCCCCCTTCCCGGCCCAGTTCCACCGCCTCCCTGCTCCCAGCCAGGCCCCACTGGATTCCCTCTTCCTGGCCCAGCTCTCCTCTGTTCTCCTTCCCAGCCTGGCACAGCTCACTCCCATTAGTCTCGGCCACCTTTGAGGTGGCATCCGCTGGACAAGACAGTCATCAAAGCAGCAAATTTCCAAACACTCACCATCCAAAGCATTTTTGCAACATACTGGAGCTGCCAGGCCAAAGCTGTCCTGGGGAGCTGCAGCCTGGGTCTTCGCTGTTAAACCCTTCACTATAAGGCCAAGCATTTCCAAGGAGAGGAGGGGAGGTTTGCGGTTTCCCCTCTTAGCTCCCTTCACTTTCCTTCATGACCAAGCTGTGACACTCTCTGAGAGCTGGCTGCATCTCACTGTGCAGTAGCTGTCTGAAGCCACGCTCCCTGCTTCTCCCAGGTGCAGCAAAAAACATCACCTCTCCCTGCTGCCCTTGCCTGGACCAGCCTGAACCTTCAAGGCAACGGGCCTGGCTATGAACTCTCCTTCCCAAGCTGGTTGTCAGGAGGATTACCTGATGAGGAAGGGCAGGATAGTGTCCCCCACAGTGTGAGCACAGAGTTCTTTTTTTTTTTTCTCTGAAACAAGTGACTGGACTGCAAGGGGAAGAGCAATGCCATTTACCAGTTGGAGGTGAGAGACAGAAGCTGGACTAGACATAGAAAACAGCGGAACAAAAGACCTACCGAAACTACAGGTTATTTCAATTGTTTGCCCAAATGCAGTGAGCCAAACTCTTTGAAGCCCAGGGCAGTACTTCCATTGCCTTCATCAGGTTTCAGATTAGTCCCCAGATGCCTATAAAGGACTTTTTCAGCTTTCTGATAATTTCATGGGAGTAGGTCTCACTGAAATCCACAGCAACACTCAGAATGGAGTATATAAAATAGGCCCTTGGGATTTTAAGCGTTCTTATACTTTGCCTTGTTAAGAACCTGCACTAATCTTATCTTTAGTTACATGACAAAATTCATTTTCTCTGAAAGTATAGGCAGAACTTGTAAGACATGGAGAAAACCAAGTTAAGTACAGTAGACAGCCACTGCTTTTCAAAGATCGTATTTCCACTTATTTCCTTCTTTTTACTCCTTTGTTACTCTTTTCTACCCTTAAAGAGCACATAAAAACTATGGTTTTATCAATTAAAAATATGGTTAGTAATCTTGTTTGATACATAGGATTTCCTCTTTCATGAGACCACTTCCTTTGATCTATTTTTATTTACATTTGTGTCACACTTTGGAAGTCTCATGTAAAACACTGACTAGGTCTTTCATGTTGCTTCTACATGATTTTTTAAATTAAATTATGTCTGAAAGGAACTGATATATGAACATCTGAAGTGCTCTTCTTTTAGTTAGCGGTGCTATCAGTTGGCAGGGTTGAGAAAAATGAACCATTTTCACAGAGACAGAGAGAAACTTGTAAAAATGTTGAAATAGCCTGGAAAAACAGAGGCAGTAATAGCAGAATTGGTCAGAAGCTTCTCCAGATACAAGGAACCAGCTGGAATGCATTCCCGAGGCTCAACACCATAAGGGCAGCACGTTAGTTTAAGATTAGTTTGTAGTGACATTCTTCAGGTATCTTTATGGGAGCTGAGGAAATTACTGAAGTAAAAAACAAGAGCAACCAAAAAACTTTCTGTGGAGTCCAATCCTTAAGTGCTGAGTGCTCCGAGTGCCCAGATCAGGGGGAACTGAATAAATAAGAGCGCTTGCCACTCTCCCCATATGGAGACAAGGGCTTATTCCAACAAGGAGCCCGGCTCTGTTTAAAGGAGGGCTGTGCTGGCAATGCGCCAGGAGCCCAAGGGCTGCTCTTAATTTGCATCGAAGAGACCAGCTTGCAGACGATGCTATCTTGCAGAAGGCAGTGAAACCATGCAACCATCCGGCTTGATCTCAGCGTTCTGGTTGCATTGCTTGAAATGGAGGATTTCACTCTGGGAGTTGCAGTCTCCACGTCTATCGTCACCCTGCAAAGTTTCTGGGTTCATTTATAATGTCTAAAGACCGATGGGAACATCAGATTGCTTAATATGGCTTCCTATATGAATTACAGGCCATTCCATTTCATTCAGGTGCAACAATATCGAGTTCAAAAAAGTGTGTATTTGGATAAAAGATAACCTCCAGAAAAGTAGCTACTCTCAAGCTGGAAACACTAAAAGATGAAGAAGTCATTTAAAGCCAGAGATTGTTGTTATAGTTAATTACCCACACAGTAAAAACGCTGTTTTAGTTCCAGCATAACTCCCTGGCATCAGCTTCTGACCAACGATTCCTGTGACTACCCCTGTCAAATTAAGTGCTGCCTTAATACTTGATCTTTTCTCCCGAGAGGAGATGAAATTCTCTGTTACTTGTCCTTTCGGTAAGTGAAGCCAGTTGGGGCTGTTTCTCCAGCTGTCTGTCATTGTCCTCAGTTCTCTAGACCCATTAGTGTAGATCTTGCTCACACTCACTTCAACTTCATAGTATCTTTCTTAAAGTATGGACATGAGACCTGGGTTCACCATTACAGTGTTAACCACTTGGACCGCAGGTAGTGATGCTGTTTGAACCCACCGCTACTCCATGCTTATGCTCCCTGTGTCTGTCTGCCCACGCCCCTTCCGCTAATGCACCTCTGCTCAGCAATAAACCTGGTGTTTGCCGATGTCTGTAACATCTAATGCGACTGGTAGAAATAATCCAGGAGCATGACTGCTCCTGTGGACTCTGTGTTCAGTCGAGGCAGGGCAGCCCGGCGTGCGCCCAGCACCAGGTCATGCAGATTTTCATGCGGGCGACTCAGGCTGGCCTTGCGCTCCAGAAAGGCAGGTTGCAACTGGAAAGCAGCAACTCCAGAAATCAAATGTTCAACATGGAGATGCTTGACTCCTGCAAAAGGCTTGTTTTGCTCCAGTTCACTGTGATAGCAAAGCTTCCCTGAAGTTTATAAATGCCAGCCTGAAGCAAAAATCAACTCAGTTGAAAGCAAATCATTTTGTAAGAGTGGTACTTGGTACGGGCTTCAGGAATAGTTCTGGGAAAATATGGTAACACTTAAGAGTCCAGTAACAAACATGACCAACTCATTGACTTGTTGCAGTTAGTGTAACCCCCTTGAAGTCTACTACATGAGTTTATATGATCTAAGAATCTAGCCCTCTATCCTATAGGCAGTCGTAGATCAGATAGCACAGATGTGTTAGATTAAGGACAGTACCTTATAAAATCAAGTATTGATTGCATTGGGAATGTCTTTTTTTTTAAAAAATCCATTAAAACATTAAAAAACAACAACAAAGGAATAAAACAGAGCGGAGAGGTAAATCAAAAGAAAACACTGACGTACTCTAGATTTATGCCCTTTAGACTTTTTTCTTTTCTTTTCCCATGCACCCAACTGGTTCAAGGGTCTATTCTTTTTGTGGTACATGCATGCACATAAGGACCTTTGATGCAGAGTCTCCAGGTGATTTGATGTGCACTGCAAGTCAGGCCTGGTGTCAAGTATATGATCCTGGCACAGAAGAACTAACTGAGAACCACACTTTGGGATATATATTTTTAGATTCCTTTGCTCCACATCTAGAATTTAGCAGATCAGAGTGCCTAGACAAGGAGTGCGACCACCACTGTCACTCTTTCATTAGCTTTCATCTGTGTAAATATTTGTGTGGCTGATGGGAATAAGATTTTCAAATATGCGTGTAATCTTGCAAAATACTGAATGTTTCATAGTGCAATACTAGGAAAGAGGTACAGTGACTTAAGAATTTTTAGCCTCTGAATTTTTGTAAGCCAAAATATAAATTATTTTCTCAACATCCTAGGCCGGCTAGACCCCCAAACACACCTCCGCCCCTTCCTCCTGCAGTGTAACCTTCATTTCTGTGTGCATCTTTGACCATTCAAAT